TTCACGTGGTTCTGTTTTTGATTAAAAAGTGTATTCTGTTTAGATCTGAGTCATAACTAAAGTTTTCTGTCATATTTAATTTTTGTTTTCAACAACTTCGTTATTATCATATGCATTTCACTATCTTTGCGCGATATAAACTGAAATCCATTGAAGGTTTCAAACTGAAAACCAGCACTACTTCGCCATAAACACAGTAACTATAACTTAGCGCGCCATTACTTTACTCTCAATGAGTGCTTTATCGGCGCGCATTTCCTTTTTTACATTTATTTATGAGCGCAGCTTCACTACATTGCCGCGCCTACTATTGCTGTGACGATTGTCGAGTACCACAATGTGCTGCTAATTGCGCATAGATTGTCTGATGTGTGAACGATAATCAGCAGCGCCAATAGCAACGTCATATCTGCGACACTGATCGCTACGAACTAATCTCTTTACCGCACGTGCAATGCCATGAACGCGGCACTAACAAATGTGCTGCTGTCATGAGGCTTCGCACATCTAAACGCGCGCGCATCAGTGTTGCACTGCCCAGCAATGTGGTGCGACAACTCTATTCGCGCCGACCAAGAGCACGGCGGGTATGCGCGCATCGGTAACGACCGTCGTTGGTGATGCGCTCCCACTGCAAAAGTGATTGCAATGATTCGGATCGCGCTTATTTATTTCAAATTGACTCATTTGGCAATATTAATAATTTAAGGCGCGCGCGCAGACGTGAACGCACCAAGCGCGCACGCATACCCACTCGCGCGTTTGTGTGCATGTAGCGAGCGACTAAAAGCCACATTAATTGTGTGCACTTTTGTTTCACCCTTTAAATCGTAACTCTTACGCCGGCAAAGCGGCACAATGGAAAGCCTTGGCAAGGTGTGCGTCATCTCTTGTTGGCGCGGCATGAATGAAAGCCGGTACGCGCGTGCGACAATAGCAATAATCAAATAGCGCGCTGACCGATCGCTTCACAAGGCGGCATGCATAAGTTCAAACATTCAATTGCGCATCATCTCTGTGTGCAACGACGCGCAACATGGCTGACCGGGCTTTCTGTTGCCAGCGCGCAATACTCATAAGTTGTAGTGAAAATGTTGCACATTGTACCTGCTGAGATTTGTGTGCGCCTTCACATCATTTCTCTATGCGCGCGCACGCTGTATCGTCCAATGCGTTCGTTCAAGTTGTGTGCGCGCACAAGTAAAGGCAGTGATCGGCGGTCGCCGCTTGTAACTCAGAAATCATTAAATAAGGAATGCGCGATACTTTATGGTTTTGCGCGTCGCAACGGAAATATACGAGTGGGCAGTCAGGTTGGTTGATTTTAGCGCGGCATAGTCTATGCTGCAATAAATGCACGATGTGACTAGCGTTGGCAATCGTCGGCACGCTGTCATTGCCATGGCCAATAGGGAGACAGGAGCGTTGAAATGGTATGCCTAAATTATGGTTAACGATTTGTGCTGTTAATATGCCTCGTAATTTGTTGTTTTCCAACAATTTTTAACGATTTCATTCCACCAGCTCGTTGACGAAGTGCTGCTGTCATGCCATGCGCGTAAATCAACCGCACGATTATGCAGCACTTCGAATTTGCGGGAGAAATTTGTATGCAATTGTTGGAGAAGCAGGAAGGGCGGTTAATTGTTGATTAAAAATGTAGTAATCAAGCACGACTCGGTGATTGGAGATGAGAGAAAAGTTTGCAAAGCAGCAAGTGATATTGATGATATTTAACCTAAATGTCTATTACACAGTTGGTTTCTAGTTTAGAAAAAACTCTATACATTTCAAGTGATGTTTTTCCTTTTCCGCAATTCGTATATTAAAAATATTTAGAAGAAAATTCGTAGCTCTCTTCCAAGGTTTAAAATCTTCAAGATTTTAAAATCTTCTTACAAGAAATTTCGGAACACAGCATGATTCTAATTCATTAAAAGCAAGAAAAATCTTTACTTTGACTGCAACGAAACTTGATTACATAAGTAGCCATGACATCACTAAGGAACTTAACATTCATCATCAAATGGTTTTGAACCACTTAAAAAAGGCTGGCTACACAAAGAATCTCGATGTTTGGGTACCACAAGAATTTTGTGTGGAAAATTTAATGGACCGAATTAACATCTTTGATTGAAATCGAACCATTTCTTAAGAGAATGCTAACAGGAGATGAAAAGTGAATTAAATACGACAATAATGTGCGAAAAAGATGATGGTCCAAGCGTGGTGAAGCTCAACAAATGGTCGCAAAGCCAGGATTGACGCATCGAAAAATTATGCTGAGTGTTTGGTGGGATTGGAAAGGAATCATCCACTATCAGCCAGCCTGATCAAATGATTGATTCTACATTTTACTGTCAAAAACTGATGAAATTGGAGCAAGGGATCGAAAAAAATGATGAGAACTGACCTACAGAAATGGCTTCGTCTTTTATCAGGCCAACGCTCGGCTACATACATCTTTGATGACTCGTTAAAAACTGGGAGAGGTTGGATGGAAAGTTTTGATGCATCCACTATGTAGCCCTGACCTTGCAACATTGGACTACCATTTGTTTCGGACAATGCAGAACGCCATCAATGGAGTAAAGTTGGCTTCAATAGAGCCCTGTGAAAATTACTTGTCGAAGTTTTTCACCGAGAAACCCGAAAAGTTTTAACTTATGGAATAGTGTCTCTAGCGGAAAAATGGTAAAAAGTGATCGACCAAAATGGTACATATTTGGTTCATTAAAGTTTTATTAGACTTTTTAGGAAACTTTTCAGCTACCCAAGATAGTAGTAAACCAATCTGAACAATCAGAGGTTATACTGTTGTCTATATATTTTATAAGGTCCATGACGTTTCTTTCGATGTCTTACAAACTCCATAGCAAACTTCATAACCGCTCCTCTGGGTAGTCGGCAGGATCTCTCCTGCATAAAAAACCTTTTCTTCTTAATTGGCGTAGACACCGCTTACGCGATTATAGCCGAGTTAACAACAGCGCGGCAGTCGTTTCTTCTTTTCGCTACGTGGCGCCAATTGGATATTCCAAGCGTAGCCAGGTCCTTCTCCACTTGGTCCTTCC